ATTGAAAGACGCTATTATCAGTGCCAAGTCCGAATGAGAAAGGAGGAGGTTTAGGAAAAATCAGCTACCTGCACCTCATGCCGTTGCCAATATCAAACGTTCTTCCTACTAAATGGTCGCTCGAGTTATCAACGGTCGCGCAGGCTGTTGGAGAACAGAAGCAGATTGCGAAAAGTCGGTGATCAGATCCTTGTTTTCTGGCTTCCGGGGGGTAGCGGCCTGTCAACAGCAGATGATGACAAACAAGGAGACGAAGAAACCAGTCAACCAATAGTGGAGCCGTTATACGCTCTGAACGAATGAGGCCGACAGCGCAATGCCATTAGAGCACGTCAGATAATGTTCTGCGAGAATCGAACATCTTCTCACTCAGAGTGAAAGCGGAGATGCTAATTGATGAAACTGCAAGGTACCAACTCGACATGGACGGGCTTTCGTCAGTGAAGCGCAGGATCTCTGGGATTCTGAATCTCCGCCGGTGGAAGCCCTTCTATTCATGCGCCGACTTCGTGTTGTATGTTCTTGTGTAACTCAACCCGGCTAGCGGAATCATTGTATGCAAGCCTGTCAGCAGAAGAGTGGCAGTCATCAAACTCAACTAACACCAGGCTAAAGTCATCAACATTGCAACTGTTTATGTGTCCAATTCAGAAGGAGGATATAAGTACCTCCGAGAGGAGGCAGAAGGTGCTCTGTATGGAGTATGACAACGGAATCCGTCGTTCTGATGGGCGATTTGAGTGAAATCTCGTTTGCGATATGATGGCAGCATTCAGGTGGTGGCTTGGAAATAAAGAGTCTTCCATTCGAATGCAGTGCGAAAAAATACGCAAGATCGCATCGAGTAGTGGCCAAAACGAAAGCCGATTCCAGGAAAAAGTTGGTGAGGATCTGGCATCGAATTTCCAGACGGAGAACTAGGTATTTTGGAAGAACCATCCTCAGTTTGGTGACATACTTCGGCGATAGAGAAAGTACTCTGAGAGACTCCTTACAACTGAGCAACCACCGAAATCCCAACTAACAGCAGCAGGCGATGGATATTAGTCTTCGGTAGATAAAGCTATGAAAGGTTTAAAAACTCGCGAGGCTGCTGGAACCGATGGAACCCGTTTTGAGTTGTTTAAAATGCTTTTTTGACCAAAAGAAGGCCCATATCGGATTCATCCGAACAAGCTGTAGGCGTTCCTGCGAACATATCGGATCAATGGCCAATGAATAGTCTAGTACTTTCTCGCTCTCCAGTCCTTTGCGCTCTGCAAATAAACGGGAAGCAGCGGAACAGGTAAGTAAATCCACGCTTCGCGGGGTTATGTTGACTGGTAATGGAAAATGGGAGAAAGAAATCAATCAGCGAATTGGAATTTCCATCGACGTCCTGCGTGAGCTAGCCAGGACCGCTGTAACTAAGGCAATGATCGGTCTGAAGACTAAGCTCTTTG